ACACATTACTCACATACATCATGTCGTTGACACAACTTATTGTACTGTGCCGGGACGACGTTGATGGAAAGCCGCTTGCCTGGCACCCGCACAGGTGGCATCAAGGAAACCCTGACTAATGTTCAGAAGTAACGGCCCCCTAGGGATGATAAGGGGAAGTGATACATGGTCATGTACCAAAGCTGGCTGCTCGACCTGATGTCCCAGATCGGGAATCAGAGACGAGTAACATGTGGCCAACGTTGAGCACCCTGGACAGAGTGGATAGACACAGATCCGCTGCTGGGACGGATAATGTACTGCCAAATGAGATGACGGACGGCGGCTACAGGGTTCGCATGCACTATCAGCGCCGGTGCAGGTGTTTGACGCCCCGCTGCTCCAAATCCTTAAGCTGGTACACCACTTCATTGGGGTATGTTTTAATTCCCAATGGCTGGCTGGCGGTCAATGGCTGGCAATTCTCCGCCAGTTGCCTGTGCCCAAACACCTAAAGGAAATGAATGATGTCGTTGCGAGGGCCAACCACACACCTGCGCTGACCGGAGCATGTAGCCCGTGGTCATGATGGACAGCATTAGCTGGGCAAGGCTCTCTGCCATAGTGGTGATGCGAACGTTAAAGTACTGTGGTGGCAGGCTGCCAACCACGTTTAGCACCGTCTGGCGCATCGCCTGGACCACCTGGTGTGAGGGGGGGGGGTTCAGGACGTTTCGCTGGAGAGATGAAACGGAAAGAGGAAGCGTTTGGTCGCCGTGACAGGCTGGATGGAAGGTTGACGCGGCGGGGTGCTGGCCAGACGTGTTTCTTGCTCGCCGTCGAGGTCAGGAATGTGAACTTACCACGGGGTGGGTCTGCTCAGCAAACTGTGTCACCGATTGCGGCTGGACTTCCTGGACATACTTGAGAAGCGCCTGGCGCCGTTCCTCCTCCTGTTTGTAACAAGCACATCCTTAGGTGCTTCCAATCAGCAAGGGCGCTGATACAATTTCAAATGCACATACATGGCGCGCTGTTCAAAAGAAGTCACAAAAAACAAATAAGGCCTGTAGAAAGCAGCATTACTACGCGCCAAACGTTCGCAAGACCTGCCCTGTGGGTGAAAATTAGCAAGGCAAAACACAGCTCCATAAAAACGTACCCGCCAAGGATCGTGAAGGTCTCCATATCCCCTTTTCGAAGACCTCGCTGACGCTTGAACTCGGCGATAGTCGCAGCTAAGAGGACGTCGATGGGCAGCGAACCACTCCCTTGTGGACGAAGCTGGCATGCCCCAGGTTCCCGTGCTAGTA